CTTCCATCAGCTTCAATTGTTCATTCAGGCTGGCCTTGGCAGCTGACAAATTCAGCAAATTGTTTCAATCTTAAATGGACTCCACATCATACCATAATTAAAATTGCCAATTTTCAATTTTAATCCATGGTCCAAACCTGAAGCTCGAGCTGGGGTCTTCTCTTCTCAGATCTGGCCTGACTCACTGTGCATTTCCAACTTTCCTGTCAGTTCTGATTTCCAACATCAGCAATACTTTGATTTTTACCTCTTTCCCACATCTGTGACAACATCTCCATCAACCATTCCTCATCTCCATCAGCCCCCAAAACTCTCATTCATGCCTTCATCTGTTTAAAGTTTCAATTCCCTTACTGACCTCCTCGAATTTACTTTTTTAAAAAAATCCCAATTTATCCAAAACTTTTCTACTTGCTCACCATCAAACATTAAGCCTTGAGCACCAATTATCAGTCTTCAATTATGTGAGAAAAAATTACTTTTTCCATGGAGGCTCAATAGTTGGCGTTTAACACTTCAACAATGGAAAAGTACAGAGAACCAGAGCAGTTCCCAGTATTAGTTATAGTGCCATAGGGTGCAAGATTTTTGTTTTATTATTCATTCATGAATGTGGGTATTGCTGGCTGGGCTAACATTTATGACCCGTTGCTAATTGCCCTTAAAAAGATGATGGGGAGAAGGCAATATTTTTAACTCCAATTGATGATGAAAGTTTTGGCATGAGAGCAAAAGGTGATCAGGGGAAAAGCAAACTGGCATAATGGTACCTTACTCATCTAGTATACAGTATGATCATAGGTCATCAGACACAACACCACCTTTCTTCATTATCATGATAACATTCAGTTGTAAGCTCAGCACACCATTGCCTTAAAACCTACTGAGCCAGGCTAAACTCCTAGTGAGCAGAAATTGTAGAAAGAAGAAAAATCAATGCTTCCAGACTCTACAATGAATGGCAACCATGGGAATCAGAGATTTATGTTTATGTTAGTTGTGTGAATTAGAGATGCTACATTAAAATGTGGGAATGCCCCAAGGGTAATATTTATTTTAGGAGAAAGATAATTTATCATAGATTGTTACAATTCCAGTTCCTACGGACCCCAAGGGTGTAATACTAAGAGACATCCCCATTCTTAATTTGACACATGAGAAGAGATAAACTTAGGAATGCTGATAACCGAAAGAATATTATCATATTCATAGAAAGGAGTTGGCAGGTGTAGTCCTAGAGATGTTGATCAGACATAGCGACATCTACTTTAAACATTAGCTCACTAGCACATCCGCAAGTCAGAACACTTATAAATGGTAACAATTACGACTTACAACAATGCAGCCTCAACATCAATTTAGAGATTGCATTGATAGATCTAATGCTAAAGCTATAATTAAAGTAAATTGAAGCCTTGTCATCTTTTATTTATAGCTATATTTTGTACTGAAATCTGGCTGGGCTTTATAATTTTTACAGCTAAAGTTTTGATTTTCCTGGATTGGGTGAAATTAGCTTTCTCTCAGCATCAATAACAACTTGTATTTTATACAGCACTTTCAACATAGTAAAACATCACAATGTTATTGGGGGTGGGCATTATCAACAATAATTTGTACTAATTCATAAATGGAATTTTTAGGATACATGGTCAAAAAAAAAGCAGGGGAATAGTGTAGATATGTTGCCATGTGGCTACAGTCAAATCAAGCAAAATGGGAGCAGTTTTTCAAATTTTGATAATGGGATGTAGGCATCACTGGTTGGATCAGCATCTACTGCCCAGCACCTATTGTCCTTGAGTAAGCAGTGGTGAGCAACTTTCATAAAATGCTGCAGTCCATGTGATGGGCACCACAGAGTCGCTAGGATAAGCGTTCCAGGATTTTGACCCAGTGACAGTCAACAAACAGTGATATAGCTCCAAGAGAGTTTGTGGCTAGAAGCAGTTCATGTCTAAAAAAGCACTAGCAAGGCTGGGCTGGGTAGTTTACTTTCTCCTCTCATTGTTCATAGGATGTAGGTGTCATTGGCTGGACCAGCATTTATTGCAGCCCCAGGGCAGTTAGGAGTCAACCATATTTCTGTAGATCTGGAGTCAAGTGTAGGCCATACCAGGTAAGAATGTCAGATTCATTCCCTAAAGGAAATTAGTGAACCAGATTATCTTTTACAACAATTGACAATGGTTACATAGCTGCCACTAGGCTAGCTTTTTATTCCAGGTTTTTACAAAATTCAAATTTCACTAGCTGCCATGATGCAATTTGAACTTATTTCTCCAGGACACCAGCCTGGGGCTCTAGATTATTAATCCAGTGACATTACTACTAGATCACCACATTCCCACAGTTAGGCTGTTTTTGAGCTGTAAACACTTGGTAGTTCGCCTATGCTAATATGTATGTTTTGTTGAGTTTAACCCTCATTTTAGGACTGTTCTTTCTAGGGATTAATTAATAATTGAATACACGAGTGCCAACAGCTATGTGATATTGGCACTTCAAACTGTGGCTTGCCAACGTATGAATAATAATTTAGTTAACATGCTGAATTTGAGAAATATCAATAAATGGGTTTAGAATTGATTAGACAGGATCATCAACAGGAACAGTGGGGCTGCTACAAACCAAACCTAATAGAAAAATAAAAGAGGACTAATGTGCAGTATATCTAAACACTGAAAACAGAACAAGCATTTCCGTCACATACTAATTCAGACTATTACTTGCATGTAAAATTTCAAAAGTACTTAGTGTATCTTTAAATTAACAACGCTTTTATAGACTTCACTTGCACTGGAACCTGAGTTAATAGAGAGCACGTTGAGAACAACCAGTGAAAGAGTCAGTCAATTTCATTCTCAGTTTTATTTTTATTAAAATGATTTGTGATTAGGAACCCTGGGGATAAGATTCAGATTCATGGAGGGCACAAAACAGAAGTAGTGCACCTGGTGCTGTTTGTACTCTCTGCTCCATTTCCTTTCCCAATCACTTCACTAGTTTGTATCATTGCTAATGTTGAGTTCCATCTCCTCTGATTCAGAAATCATGACTTTTCATTTCATTTTCGCCATGTGCATTTTTAAAGATCTCACAGACATTCATGATAATTAACTCACAAATATGGCATACTTGTACCCTGTGCATAATTGTAGTTCACTGTGAAGAATACAGGTTTAACTGTGACAACCAAGTGGGTGCAAATGTGCCACCTGTCAGTATTTCTGTGGCACATGGCCAACAGCATGGATTTAATACAATGGCAATGACAATTTGCAATTCATAAAAGAGGATGCACGATCACTCTACCATCTGAGTTGCATTGGTGTTATTAATATTTTAGATGTCTCTGGCACAAGCCTCTTATGAATTTCTATTCTGTCCAGGAAAATCTGATCATTTAAGCTTCTTTAAATGGTCAGTAAAAAAAATGGACAATATTCATTCTCATGACAGCTAATGATATCTTTGTCTGAAAACTAGTCTGGAAAGGTACCAGAAACTATGTTATATACCTAATACAGGGCAAAAGCTGATGAGTTAAAATCAATTATTGATATCTAATACACATCAGTAATGGTGAGATCATGACTGATTCTACTGAGTAGATTGGTAGACTTCTGAGGCTATTAAGAATTAACTATTTAGGGAGACTAGAGTCGCAGATAGGTACAGCAAGCTACCTTCTCTAAAAGATATGAGTGAAAAATAGGTAATTATATAAACCTGGCAACATTCTTGGTCATATTTTACACAGTGCTAGCCCATAAATAATAGATTTGTTTAATTTTGCTTCACAAATGAATGATCACTAGATTACTTATAACCACTCATTACCATCCTCTATACAGGCATAGGACACTGTCAGGCGGCATGACTGGAGAAGACCTATCTTGGGATGTCAGCAACACTGGCAAAGTTAGCATTTGGTGCTCAACCCCAAGAGTCCCAAAGAAGTTATTGGCGAGGCACCTTCTTGAATAGCTGTTGTGCATGTGGTGTAGGTCCATCCATGGTACCGTTAAGGAGTGAGTTCCAGGTTTCTGACTCACTGACAGCGAAGGAAAGATGATATAGTTCCATCTCAAGTTGGTGCATAGCTGGAAGAGGAACTTGTCGTTGATGGCGTTCCCTACAAAATTCTGGAACGGGTTCAAGGCCAGACTGATGACCTGAGCGTTAACCTTGTAAAAATCCAAACTTCAGTGAGTTTAGCCAGACTCAAGTAAACCACTAACAAAAACAGAAGTTGCTGGAAAAGCTCAGCAGGTCTGGCAGCATCTGTGATGAGAAAGGTTCCGAGGAAGGGTCACTAGATCCGAAACGTTAAGTCTGATTTCTTTTTTTCAGCAACTTCTGTTTTAAAATTAAACAAATCTATTATTTATGGGCTAGCACTGTGTAAAATATGACCAAGAATGTTGCCAGGTTTATATAATTACCTATTATATAATTACCTATTTCTGATTTACAGCATCCGCAGTTCTTTCATCAAATAAACCACTGCTTGCAGGTTCATAAAATTTCTCCTAATTCTGAACTAGTTAATAACTTCTCTCAAAAGAAATATTGGAATAGACATTTTGATTCAAGGTCGGAACAGTCACACATTTAAACAGGATTGTGAAGAGGTCATCAATCTGCACCCAAAGTGTGCTGACCCTGAATTCAGAAAGATTAATATCTGATGTGCAGGAAAACAGCAGAACAACGGTACCCTCATCAGTGCTGACACCCATCATTCTGACAAACGTAAACACATAGCAGGAATCAGGGGGAACGTAACTGGTCACCTTTCATCTACTCAACAGCTGTCTAAATAAATTGGCTTTTCATTCTGTTTTTGCGCACTCGTATTCATTACAAAAGAGGTTATTATTGTCAACTGAATCTCCTTGGAATGATAAAAAGTAATTTCAATATTTCATTTTATCTTGTGGTCATTTTAAGATGAAATGTAGCACAGCTCCACTTAAAGTTGCGAGAAAACTGACCTGTTTGATGAAGATGATCTCTAGCAAGTTCGAACATTCGCATGTGCATATTTGTGATAGGGTTGAAGGAGCCGCAGGCAATCAATGCAACTGGAACTCGGTTAATCATTTTAGCACAGGCTGGTGTCTGATGCCAAAATTAAAGCTTAAAGGAAGGAAGAAATATAGTAATTGAGCTGGTCAGAATCATGGATAAATATTACTGAGGTACATAGAGAATCTGAGATGCGGTTTTGACTGATATGTACTTGGACTTGGAATGATAAACAAAATAAGAAGTAGGAATTTGATAGACTCAGAGCAAGGAAGTAAATACCATATCTATTGAGAAGGCATTATAAAGAAAATTGTATTAGTACACGGTACACTGGAATGATCTGAACAGTGGAGATCATTGTTAAGGATGCGAGGGTAACGAGTGTTTTTGAATTCTAGAGGAATCAAAGCCTGTATTTACAACACTAGAGCTCAAGCAGTTCACTGACTAATGCATTAGTGTAAACTTTGTGAATAATGTCAAACCAGTGATCCAATAGTTTGTCATGCACATGTGACAGTGCTGCTTTCCATTTCCCTTTGCACAGAGTGGCATGCATCTGACCTCTCCCCGAACATCAAAGCACTTACCCTCACCCCACATCTTAGAACATGAAACTCCATAGCTTCATGTGCTTTTTGAGATGCATATAAGTGAACCATGCTCAGAATCAAACTTAAAATCGTAGAATCATAGAATCCCTACAGTGTGGAAACATGCCCTTCGGCCCAACAAGTCCACACCGCCCCTCAGAGCATCCCACCCAGACCTATCCCCCTATAGCCCACCTAATCTACATATCCCTGCACACTACGGGCAACTTAGCATGGCCAATCCACCTAGCCTGCACATCTTTGGACTGTGTGAGGAAACCAAAGCACCCGGAGGAAACCCACGCAGACACAGGAAGAACGTGCAAATACCACACAGACAGTCGCCCGAGGGTGGAATTAAACCCAGGTCCCTGGTGCTGTGAGGCAGCAGTGCTAACCACCGTGCCACCTGAGTAATACTGGAATGAAAATCTCTGCCTCTCGTTGCTCAAACAACAGTATTAACAGTGCTTTCTGCGAATAAAGGGAAAATGACTCCAAAACTCTCTGGAATAGTAGCATTTTGTCAAGTTTCAATAATCGTTGGCCTTGAAATTATGCTGTTGAAAAGCATTCAAACATTTGATGGTTTCATCAAAAAGCTCTCTCTGTTATCTTAACAAATGTCAAATCAGTTTAAAATAAATGGGCTTCCTAAAATAGTGCAGCAACGAATTTCAAACCAATATGTGCTCTCATCCTACAAGATTCTTTGAAAGCCCTATTTTTCTTCTAACCATTATTTTTGTCTGATACTGTAATAATACCAAATTGAAGCCAGAAATTACTGAACTAGATAGCTCGTTTGCTGCAGTATAGAACTGCATTCTAACTGAAGGAGTCAAGACAACATCCCAGCTATAATGCTGAAAATCTGCACTCCAAAATTAGCTGTGGCTGTACTGAGCTGTGCTTGTAAAACTACACAAAGCACCTACCCAATCATGGTGAAATTACCCAGATGTGTCCTGTCCACAAATTAGAAGTCTGTTACTACTCCAGCAGTTCTATTCTCAAGGATCAGCAGAGTGATGGAAGGTGTCATTGACAATACCATCAAACAGCAATTGCTCATCGATAATGGCTCGTTGATGCTCAGTTCAGGTTCTGTCAGGGACACACAGCTCTAACATCATTACAGCTTCAGTGCAAACATGGAAGAAAATGTAACCAAACTCAATAAGTGAAGCAAGGGTGACTGCCCTTGACATGAAAGTAGCATTTGATTGGGTGTGGCATCAAGAAGTGTTAACAAAATAGAAGTCAATGGGAATCGGGCAGAGGAGGAAACTCTCTAATGGCTGGAATCACACTGAGCATATAAAAAGGTGTTGTTGTTGTCAGACGTCAATCATATCAGTCCCAGGATATCATTTCAGGAATTCCTCAGGCCCAACCTTTCAGGTGCTTCATCAATTACCTTCCCTTGTAAAGGGAAGCTCAGCTAACACACAAGGAAGGCTTATGCTGGTAGATTTAGAGGAGGAAAAATGAGAGGCTTGAATGGAGCACAAATATTGGCACAGACTGATTGGCTGAGTGGCACATTTCTGTAGCGTATGTTGGAAGCTGGTTAGCTCTTGATTGGACGGCTGGTTGGTGACGCAGAATGACAGCATGGGTACATTTCCCACACCAGCTGAGGTTAGCATGAAAGTCATGCTTTCTCAACCTCACCCGATGCGTGATGGCACTCAAATTAAACCACCACTAGGTGTCTCTCTCTCTAACAAGAGAGGAGCCATGTTACTACAGTGACTTTATTTAATGCTATCCGATGAAATGTAATCCTCCTTCAAAAAGGTTAGAATTGTGAATTCTGGCAGGTAAATCCACAGTGCTCAATAACAATTGCAATTCCTCACCTATTGTAGCTATTCATGCCCACAAGCAGCAAGAGCTGTACAAAATTCAGGCTTCAGCAGATAAGTTCAAGTACTAAAGTACAATACTGTGTGTGCTGGAAATCTGAAATACAAACACCCTGTAACAGTAATTCAATTCGCCAACAGGCAATGAGCATTTCCAACAAGAAAGAATTTAACTATTTCCCCATGATATTCATAATAATGCCATCACCAAAACTCCAACTGCAAAACATTCTGCAGATTATCATTGATCAGAAACTCAACTGAACCAGCACCTCCTGCGGTGTAGTGGTCATGTCCCTATCTCTGACCAGGAGGCCTGGGATCATGTCCCACCTGCTCCAGAAGTGGGTCATAACATTGCTGAACAGGTTGGTCAGGAAATAAAATCCGTAAACACTGTTGTCGCAACAGTAAGTGAGATGCTTGGAATTCTGCGG